TGTGGGGTTCTCATCTTTTATGTGATATATTATGAGTGGAGTATCGGTAGGAAGCTTCTTTTAACCCTGGAGATAGGGAACAGTTATTCTAAGAGTCCAGTACTACAGGTTGAAGGGAGATCTGGTCCCTGGAGGATTATGTACCAAAGCTCAGTATGTCAACCATGAGAGTGGGAGGCAACAAATTTTGGTGAGCGCACACCTGAGAGGGGAGCACCCCATGGAGTTCTATTACGTTTTAGCACAAGTATTTACATGGTGATTATTGGATGATCTAAGTGATTTATTTTTATGAAATATTTATGATTTCTGTCACGTGGTGATCACAGGAATGGACTGAAACATTCAGACTTTTTTTTTTCATTTAGAATTTGATATTGATGCATGCACCGCTAAAATATTTTTCTATAAATATGTTATATATATATATATATATATATATTTAAATATATCTTGAAATATATTGAACACGGCCAAAATTGTAGTATTTCAAATATATGTCAATATATTTGGGAAGAATATTTTTAAACTAGAAAAACTACAATTTCTGGGGAAATTGTGTGAAGTGTTCTTGCCTCCACCAGTAGTCTACAACTGGAGTGGGCGGAGAGAAACTGGGTGGAGTGGCTTGAGTAACTGTGAAAAGGTTGGACTGGGCTCACACACCTGGGTTCCTATGGCAACTCACTCTGCAGCAAGGGCAGAGGAGAGCGGTTAAAAACAAACTGCTCCATCGTGCTCACTTCACTGGCGGTTGCCATCTTCAAATGGTTGTAGTTTAAAAATTATCAATTCTACACCGAAGAGCTTTATATTGCGAGAATCACAAGACCCAGACCTACATTTTGATGCATAGTATGTCTCTGAAATATTAAAAATGAAGGCACAGTCGCAGTGTTAGAAATCGCCCTTCAAATTTGAGGTGGCTAGAGTAGAGTTTCAATGATTGTCAATGGGCGGCGTGAGTTGCAAACAAATGGTCATATTGTGAAAACTATCAGGACTATGGCTTAGCCGTGGATATTTTTAGTGGCAGCAGGGATAGCTGATAACGTTTTGATATAAGATTTGTGTAGGTGGGCTTGAAAATGAGGGAGTGATGGCAGTTTAGAAATCATGTCCTGATTTTTCAGCTCACATTCTAGCTTTTGTCAGCTCCCAGTCTAGTTTTGAACATTCCACCATTCATTCCTATGGGACCAATTTCACCACAAAAACGCCAATATTTCGTGAACCATTCTGCGAAACGTTCCACAAAGTAATAGCACACCAATCGGGAACAATCCGCACGTTTCGGTATATTACTGTCTATGTAGTGTAAAAACTGTGGGAGGAGTTAGGGTGGTAAATTTGGCTATAATAATAAGAATATATATGTGAGATAACAGTAAGTGTGGTCTTGCCATGCAAGAACACTTAAATATATTTAAAATTTATTTTTCTTTCATGTGGGTTACAGGAGTGAATTTCCCTTCCTCGGGGTAGATTTCTTCTCACTTCCTGTTGTCTCCCTCCGTTTGTAAGTATGCATGTACGTCAGATGTATGTAACTCGGGGGACTGCCTGTACAGTCTTCTAAAAACAGGTAACTGCATGCCTTCCTTTCAATACAGATTCAAAAAAAGGGATTTATATACCAGCAACACTAGATGTACAGCTGACAACAGGGGCAAATAAAAAATCTGTGCGGTTCCAGCCCCAATCCTAAAATAAGGAATAGATAAGTTGCTCTTACATCTGTGATTGAAGTAAGACATTCTTTAAAGTATATGTAAATCCTCCTTGTAAAACAACCCATCCAGTTTAACCACTTCAATACCGGGCACTTTTACCCCCTTCCTGCCCAGACCAATTTTCAGCTTTCAGTATTGTCGCACTTTGAATGACAATTGTGTGGTCATGCAAGACTGTGTCTATATGACATTTTTTCACACAAATAGAGCGTTCTATTGGTGGTATTTAATCACCACTGAGTTTTTTTATTTTTTTCTAATTAAATTTAAAATTAAATTTAAATTTTGCAAATAAATAACATTTCTTCATAAATGTAGGTCAAAATGTATTCTACTACATTTCTTTGGTGTAAATACCCCAAATTAGTGTATATTATTTAGTCTGTAGGAAAGTTATAGAGTCCACAAACCAAGGTATATATATCTGACAATCTATCAATCCTGGTGTACTGACAGCCCATCTAATTTCTTGAAGCCTGAAAATGCCAGGATAGTACAAATACCCCCAAAATTAACCTTTTTGTTTTGAAAATAGACAGTTCAAGGTATTTAGTAAGAAGCATGGTACGTTTTTTGGAGATTGTAATTTTTATTTTTTTTACTTACAATACAATGTACAATGTTACCATATTAACAATGAACTACTCTGGGCAAGTGAACAGCATTTTTTTTAACACATTATGATTGCTAATACCAATATATTTCATTGATATTTGCAATCATTGTTACTGAATGAAACTGATGAATTCAGTCTTTTGTTGTGATTAGCTGTGATTGGGCAAAGCTCATAACATGATACAGATGGGCTGTGATTGGCCCTGTCTGTACCATGTGACTGCTTTGACCAATCACAGCTAACAATACAATTGTATACAATGGATGACATGACAGGAACCCATCCATTGTATACAATTGATATGTGATATGCTGTGATTGGTTGCAGCGGTCACATGACACTGGCACCGCCGGTGTGGTGATATGTCATTGGCTGTGTGCGCAAGTGGCTCCTTTTGACAGGACGTCATATTACGCCCAGTCACAATGGCAGTCAATCTGCTATAGACCAGGTGGGAAGGTGTTAAAATAGAAATGAAAGGCAAAATATTTGTGTATAGATATAAAAAAAATTATAAATCACTGTTTCCCTTTAAAAAAAAAAGTGATAAGTGATCACATTCCTTCAGATGCATAGAGAGGTGAGGGAGGTAAAAACAGCAACACACTGGTCTTCCCAGTGAATGGTTGTGCTGGGAATTTGTGTCAGGACAAGTATTATCAATGGAGGAGAGCATGCTCAGTTCCCAGCATAGCTAGAGAACTGACAATGGTGTGTTCTCCTGCCTACTGTGGTCGGTTTTTAATAGGAAAGCAAAAGGGACTGACAGGGACACCAGGGAGTTCACACAAAGGAAGCAATACAAAGAGAACAGGATACCTTTTCATACAAGTACATGGTATAGCAGGCACATATCAGAAATATGTTGGGTTTACATATTCTTTACAACCTTCTACATTCAGGAGGCACTACTATGTTTCACATTGATTATCTGGGGGACATGATTATCAACTGTCTGATGTGCCATTGTACCAGTCCATAAGATGTAATCTATTGCGTCCATAGTTTCCATACACTGTCCTGATCATATCCAACTAATCTGAAACAGTTCGACATAATGTAGTTCTGAATACATGGCTACATATTGGAGTGTAACTGTACTACAAATCAGGTTCTAGATGTACAGTTGGCTACAGAAGCAAATGAGGAGTTTGCATGGTCCTGCCATCTATCCTAATCCTAAAACCAGGTATAAATTCTTTATTTTTGGGATCTTTGATGGAAATGAGACATGCTAGACTTCTGTTTTATGAAGACTCTACTGTGTGATTCATTTGAGAACTGAACATTTTGGACTGTACGTAAGATAGGGCTTAACTGTATATCAAAGGAAAAAACATTTAGAACATTTCTGAAATACACGCACATTTCACCAAGTTTTAGCCATTTAAAGACACTGCAAAAAATAGCTGATCTCCCGGAAATGCACTTTTTTTTTTTTTTTTTTTTTTTTAAGTGGAATTCACTCTCTCAAGCAACATGACTATTTTAAATCCTTACGCTGCTAACATTAGTAAACAGATGGGGACGTATATTATATTTACTTGTTTTAAACATGTTTTTAAACTTCATTTCTTCAGTTGCTTCCTGGTTTCCAGGCATAGGCAAATTATGTCATACATCCCAGGAGTCTTCCGGAGGGGAGAGTTTTCTGAGCTAAGCACACCCTCCTGCCTGCATGAAGGCCTGAGCTAAGGGCAGATAGATTCCAGAAAGTAAAAGCTACATGAATCATCTGCCCTTTCTCAAGATGGCCATGGCCAGAAATGCTAGGGGTGTTTTTCAAAGTGATTTCTTCGCAAAATAAAGCATGGAAACCTGGATGGCTGGATGAATTTGCTTTGAATACTAAAATAGAATAAACATTATCTGATAAAAAAAAAAAAAGAAATAAATTGTGTTTTGGTTGCTGTTGTGGGCTGACAACACATAGGGTTTTGAGGCATGAAATCACACAGGAAAAGTTGTCGGCTTACACCAGCTGTCTTTTTGCTAAACTACAGAATCCCTTCCCCTCTTCATCTCCACTACATAAACACTGAGTCCTCATGCACACTGGACGTTTTGATAACGCTGGTAACGTTAGCTGTGTAAAGTCACGTTAAAGTAAAGGTACGTTTTTCAGCTTTTTTGCTTTAGCGTGTTTGCATTAGCGTTTAGCAGAATTTTTCCACGTTTGCGTTGTTTAGCGGGTTTTTTTTAGTAAAAAAAAAATCCAAAAGCGCCAGTTAACCGTGTTTTACCACGTTTTTCAGCGTTAGAGTATTTTTCCAGCTAAAAAACTCCTCTAGAAACTCCCTAGTCCTGGGTTTTTTTTTCCAGCCAAAAAACTTTGATTACAGTCTATGTGTACATGGACACATAGGATAACATGCTGGGGAGTTTACTAGCTGTAGAAAAAAAAGCCAAAAGCCAAAAACAGCAGCTGTAAAAATGTCCAGTGTGCATGAGGACTAAGAGGGAGATTTACTAAAACTGGAGCACTCAGAATCTGGTGCAGCTGTGCATGGTAGCCAATCAGCTTCTACCTTCAGCTTGTTCAATTAAGCTTTGACAATAAAACCTGGAAGTTGATTGGTTTCTATGCAGAGCTGCTCCAGATTTTGCACTCTCCGATTTTAGTAAATCTCACTCTAATTGTTCTGTAGTAAAAGATAAAGAACTGTGAGGGTTGATTAGGTTCAGACTTGAGTGTTCATGCATGTTATAGAGATGAATACAACCAGGGGCAGACTGACAACTTATGGGGCCCCCGGGCAATAGGGGATCATGGGGCCCCTGTGTCCTTGCCCAAACTCAAAAAAGCCTATGAAAAAGGTACCAGGGGCATCTCATGGGGCCCCGGGCAGTGCCTGAGTTTCCAAATGGTCAGTCCGCCCCTGAATACAACAAATGAACATAGTAAGAAAAAAAATGATTAGGCAAGCTCAAAAATGTCAGAGATCCATAGTTGTTTCACAGTTAAACACTGATATTTATTAGTAAATTTCCTACAAAAATGCTTGCAAAGAGTGGAGTGTGTATGCAAATAAATAAATAAAGTAAGAGAAAAAAGAGACAACCAGACAGAGATTTCAGACCACGGTCAGTTCTTAGTTCAGTGGTGTCTGACTGTTAGCTATTGTCTTCCAGTAGAACTAGAGAAGTCTGCCTGCGATGTTTACAGAGTACTCTGATTCTTTGTTTTAACAAACCTCTTACGAAGCCACTCCTTCGTTGCTCGGGCAGTATGTTTGGGATCATTGTCATGTTGGAAAACCCAGCCACGTTGTGAATGAGCACATGGTCACCGCGTTTAAACACTTTTTGCACTGCGCCTCTAGGACCGGGCCTTTTGGCCAAGTCCTGGGCAATTTTTTTGCTACAGGCCTCAGGGCCTGGTCAGTGCACAATTTGGGCACGACCCCACTTTATTATTTTTATAGATTTATTTTTTTTTAATTTTATTTATTTATTTTTACACTCCCACGTTTGTCACTTTTACTTATGTGTGTGTTTTCTTCACATGATGGAGGGTGTGGGTCCTCGGGCCTGCCCTGAAGTCTAGGGGGAGGATGTGTGGCCTTTTGGTTCCTTCCTCCCCTGTCCCTAGGGGGTTTTCTCTTCGGGAGAACCCCCTGGCCTAGTACTGGATGTCTGGCTTCGGCTGGGCATAAGGAACGGTGGTCCACCAGGCCTTTTGGCCAGGAGGACCAAATGGGAACCTTGTCCCTGTCAGGAGCTTCGTGCCCCGGGGGATCAGGGTAGTGGTCCAACCCCTTCGGGGGTAGGACAAAGCACACCCCTAAGTGCACTTTTTGTGTGGTGTTTTTGCACTTGCACTTTTTTGTGAAAACACGGGTTTTTCGTTGTAGCTTGCACGTTTGCGGACTTAAAAAAAAAAAATAGTGGAGTTTGGAGTGTGACTGTTTGAGGTTGTGGACAGGTGTCTTTTATACTGATAACAAGTTCAAACAGGTGCCATTGATACAGGTAATGAGTGCAGGACAGAGGAGCCTCTTAAAGAAGTAGGTACAGGTCTGTGAGAGCCAGAAATCTTGCTTTTTTGTAGGTGACCAAATACTTATTTTCCACCATAATTTGCAAATAAATTCTTTCCAAATCAGCCAATGTGATTGTCTGGATTTTTTTTCTCATTTTGTCTCTCATAGTTGAGGTCTACCTATGATGCCAATTACAGGCCTCTCTCATCTTTTTAAGTGGGAGAACTTGCACAATTGGTGGCTGACTAAATACTTTTTTGCCCCACTGTACATCCAAATAGTGTTGTTACAGATCTTCCGTTTGTTGCCACAAAGGAATACATTTCTCTTGTCATAGATTCATGTGCATATTTTGTTTTTAAACTGTATGTAAAGGCTAAACTTACTTTACACTATCCCAAAAAATAGTTATGCCCCTATATACTTCTTAATCCCAGCCTTTTAAGAGGTTTCTCATGCTGGAAGGCGGTTTCCAATCATGTGACACCATCCATGATTGACTGTCACATGATCAGAAAGCTCCATATCACAAGTAGAGATGGGGAGCTCTACGTTCGCTGCCAGTAACTGTCCTGAGAGCATGCAGGGTGCATGCTCTCAGTAGAGCTGTTTACATTCTGGTTTTTACATATGCGGCCTCTCTCAGCATTAAGGCCCACCCACCGAGAGGCCGTAGATATGCATATCACCGGCGCAAAGAGGTTAAAGACGACTTGAATTATGGCAGCTCTGTCCAAAAAGGCTTGCATAGGCCACCTGTACTGGCTCTCTGCAGTTGATGTTTTCCCTATTACTATCATGTCTTGTGTTGTATCGTGTCTCTGTGTGGAGTTGGCCTATTTGACAGGGGATGCCTGCAGCTTTCACTCCAGCAAGGAAGACTGTGACAGCACAGTAAATGTTCATTAAAATGTTATTAAACCCAGGACTCTGCATTCACTATATCCGGTCTCACACAGTACATGGAAATGCAATTATTTTAGTAAATATAAACTGCTAAATACCTTTTCTCATCAGCAGTATATAGCAGTCTTGTGACTTCTATCAGTGTCCAGCCCACCACTAGCTAAAGCTTGTAGGAGGAGTTTTCTGTCTACTCTAGGAGGATGGAAATCCCCTGTCCTCTGTCTGGACAGTGCTGATTGGCCCTGTGCTAATCACATAAGAAAAAAAAAAAAAACCTCTCTAGCAATACACAACAAACTGAGTACGTGCATGCCTACAGTTCAGTCTGGAGATAAGAGGTGGTCGCTTGAGAAAGGGGAGGAACAGAGAAGATTAACCCCTTAGGTTCTACAGGGAGTATAACAAGCATGCTTTACTGCATATGCAGACTGATTTTACTGATGTGGGTTTAGTAACACTTTAATTCAAAGGGTAGAGGAATAAGGAGTAATAATTATCTTATTTCTCAGCTCTTGCAGGCTCCCACAATCTGAGTAACTCCACTTTTGTTGAGAAAAAAAGAACATTCCCTTCTGGGTGATCTATGTATATTGCAGGAATTGTATCAAACTTTGTTGCAGATTCCTACCTTGTTACTCTGGAGGAATAGCGGTTTGTTTGTGTCCATGTACAGAGTAAGTCTGTATGGGGGTGGTTTTATAATTATCAATCAGCTGCTGCAGGGCTCTATTGAGGAAAATGCATGGTCTGCATCCCTTTAGACAGGATTTCCCTTTGGGAATATCACATCAAAAATTAAATTTTTGTTGCAGAGGATACTAAAAATGAGACTTGTGTCTCAGCACAGACTTCTGGGAAAATCAGTATGTCAATCACACAAGCAGGAAATAACATTTTCAGGAGGCGTTCTGCACATCATTTGTGTGCAGAATGCCTCCAGGCAGCCATATTGCATTTTACAGAAAATTACAGCACTGCCAACTGAAAAGGAAAGGTAATTTTTGGTAACATTCAGTTAGAATATGACTTGAGTCGCACTCTTCTATACACTATATTATTTTTCTTTGCTAATTTTTTTTCTTATAAAAGTGGAGTTACCCTTTAAGACATTCTAGTTGGCAGTTGTACAATTATGTCACATATATATATACATATATATATATATATATATATATATATATGGACGGACTGACAACTCATGGGGCCCCCGGGCAATAGGGGATCATGGGGCCCCTGTCTCCTTGTCCAAACTCAAAAAAGCCTATGAAAAAGGTATCAGGGGCATCTCATGGGGCCCGAGTTTCCAAATGGTCAGTCCGCCCCTGTATATATATATATGTAAGTACAATACAGAGCCAATAATCCTACAATGTATCTGAGAACCACAAGTAACCCACCACAGCACTGAGTGGAGGAGAGTACTGGAGCAAGGAATAAGGTAAGCATTACATCTTATTCCTCGTCCTCTAGAGTTAACAAGCATTTAACCCTTGCAAGCCAGGTGGGGTGCCCACTACAAGGGTAGATTTCTTTTGTAATTCCAGAAGTTGGCCTTAACATTGCTAGCTGTTCCCTCTAAGAAATCAAATCATCACTTTTGAGTTTAGGTCCACCATAAAATTATATTTGGAAATAAGGTATGGAGCAGCAAAAGATGATGACAGTTGATGTGAGATTATACAAGTAGCTCTGCTGCTGTTGTTTTCAATCTATGGATGATTAGATGTAGTTAGTGATGGAACAGTCTAACATTCTCTGCATTAAGGCTACTTTCACACTGATTCGCTGCAAAAACACAACAAAAATGCATAGGCGTTTTTACTGCGCTTTTGCCATGCCTTCTGAGTGTGTTTTTTAAAACACGTGGCTTTAAAACTGAACCAAAAACGCTTCTCAGAGGCATTTTTGAAGCACTTTTCTGGTGTTTTTTAGGCGTTTTACATTGATTTCAATGGGAAGAGACATTTTTTGGACGTTTTTATTTAACTCAACAAACATGCTCCGAAGATGCTGCAAGCAGGAGTTTTTACACTGCAACAGAAGTGCAATGCCCCAGTGTGAAAACATACATAGGGAAGCATTTTTCTTCAGCTTTTCAGGAGCTTTTTTAACGCAAAAGCACTATAAAAACTCCTCAGTGTGAAAGTAGCCTAAGGTAAAAAAACCTTTCATGTTCAACTTTCCCCCTTCCCCTCAATACTTACCTTAGCTGATCTTGATCCATTACTATGCCTGAGATCAGCAGCACTGCTGTCCATCTCCTCACAGTCACTGACTCTAGCACTTCCACCTAGCAGCACTAGGGTTGTCGGTTCAAATCCCACTACCTGCCTGAAGTGTACGTGTTCTCCCTGTGCCTGTGTGACACACAGAGAAGAGAAGCCGAGAGCACCAGCGGGGGATCCCAGCATATTCCACCAATGAGTGTGACTGAATATACTGGTGATGTGGAAGTCTGAGCCTTAAGGAGACATTATACCTCTATTTGCTGAAGTGTTTTTAAGGTGGTGCACTACTCTTTTAGTGCACTCTACTTGTGAGTGAAACTTGTTTTATGCTCTTAATTAAGATTACTAGTTTTTTTTATGGTATTACACTATTGGAGCTTTTTCTTTTTTGAGCAGAGGAGCCCTGGAGGTGCCTGGAACTGGAGGTATAATAGTAAAAGACCAGAAAGAATGTAGTATGTGAGTACAGAGTATAAGTGCCCTGGAGTGAACCCCTTAAAGGGGAATGACCTATTTTTAGTTAAAAAGGTGCATTCATTAAGGTGAGAGTGGAGTGTGAATGGTGGTGGGATGCTCTGTTTTTTTTTTTTTCTCTAAGCACACTAAGGATATATAAAGATTACCCATTAGCACAGCACACAGTTGGAACACGTTTAAAGGGACTATACTGTTGGACTTTTCACTGGTCACTAAAGTTGATGTTTCATCCGGTCTTCTAGGTCTTGTATTTTGTCACCACGTGATGATATTTTGAAGTTACACAGTATATATTATATATTAAGTATATTAAGTATAAATATAATCATCCAACTCAAAAATATGAACACAATTTACAATCTGTAAAAAGAGAGGCATTGTTGTCTGGGGAGTTCTAGTTTGCTGGGTATAGGTGTTTGAACATTGGAGCACGTTCTATTCAAGGTGGAAAGACTGAACTTTTGAGTTTATTTCGAACTGTGGGCTAATCTTTATTTGTCATACACTTGGTCACTTTGGTTTTTACAGTGGTGCTTATTTGATATAACAAACATTTTATAATGTTCGCAGAACCTTTTATATTGTGTTACAAGTATATACTAAGAGTCTATTTAGATTCTTTATATTCAGTTATTTGTCAAGTCACATAGCATATCGGTAGTTATGTGCACGAACGCATGATTTGTGACATGCATGGTTTGGTTCGCAATATGGTTTTTGCTTGGTATGTTCAATAAGTTGTGCAACACTTTTTATTTTTGAACATTTTAGCTGGTGTGGGAATACACATTACAGAGTAGGCAGCAACAATTTGATTTTTTTGAGTTTTGGTTATTTCACTATGCAGATAGGTTTACGCATAGGGTTTCTCTAGAGCAGTGGTTTTCAAGCTGCGGAACCTCAGGACCCACATTTGTCCTTGGTCATTAAGTTGAGACCCAAAAATAACTTAATTTCTGACACATTATAATTTATTCCACAAAACAACCTGTGCAGTATTCTGCAACGTATATAACGTACAGAGCTAGTGAAAATGAAAGTGCTTCTGAGGTAAAAAACCTAATAAAAAAATAAACGGTAAATGAAACATATAAAGTGAATTAAAACTAATGGGAAAACTGGGAAAAGTGTCTCAAAGTCTGGGGTCTGATGGTAGATAAAGCAAATCTGAGGTTGTGTTCAATGCTTATTCTGTTCCGGATTCCATAGTTGTAGTCACGGCCATCTTAACATCTATATTAGTGCAGCTGATGGTTTTTACAGGGAGTTGGACATTTTATTGGGGCATTAGAGAGTCCTGCGGAGCACTTGCCCCGTGACCCAGTCCGCCCCTGATCACAACCCACTACTTGAGAAACATGGTTCTAGAGCATTTTTTCAGTGAGGAAACTGACATAAGGAAGCAAAGCCCTGCCTCTAACAGGACCCCAGCTTCCACACAAAACAAGGCATGCTAAAAGTCAGTCCTGGGAAAAAGATACACTGCAGATAGACCGCAGTCATTTATGTGACTAGTCCTTTGCCCTCTGGCTGCCTTTATTTGGGTATAGGTTCCACAGAACCAACTGTCTTTACAAACTTTAAACTAAGTGGAAAACTGATTAGCTGTTAATGCCAACATAAACACTTTTCTTTCCTACATTTTCCAGAAGCCAGTCCTATTGTAGTTCTAAAAGTTTCACTGTTTGTATGAAGTTGCTTCCTACTCAGACAAGATCCACATAGACACAATACTTTCATCATCATAGATCAGACTTTTAGGTAAACCGGAGAAATTATCTGTCTGAGGCTTCCCTTTCTCCACACACAGCTCTGCAAATTAGGCTTTACTTATCGGTAAATAGCAGATCAAATAGCCTATTGAGATATCTTTCCTGCTATAATGGAAAAAGCGAACTTATCTAGCAGCTAAATTGGCTGCTTTCTGAAAAGCAGAGATGTATTACTAAATGCACATACTGAGAACAGGCTTTGGTCTTTCGCTTCTCTCATACACAAACAATACATCTGTGAAAAACATCAGTATAAGAAACTATAGAACAAATTCTTACAAAATAGGCTGCTCACAACACAAACCACCTGCATTTAAGATAAGTGAATATCTTAGTGCTTAAAATCATTATCAAAGGGGTACTTTGCTGCTCCGAGAAGAGGTGGAAACTGAGAAGACTATGCTTGTCTTTAACACATCATGTTTTAATGTGCAAAGAGATATTATATTGAAGAAAACACTAATTTAGAAGAGGTTATACATGGAGTATTGAGTTTTCTACAAAGGAAACTAATATTACTGCCTATCTTCCAACATGCAAAAAATAAAACAAGTTCAGATTACCCCATGTCAATTTGGCAAATGGATAGGTGGTAGTCATATTAAAGTGGAACTCTAGATTGCTGTAAAATACCCATATTTAGTCAATTGATGCATATGAACAACTAAATATTTTTTAGGAGGTACTTTAGATTGTCTCCTGTAAATCCTGCAAGACCAGCATGACTGGAAAGGGTAGCACTGTGAGCTATTCAGGCTGCAACTCATTGAACAATATTGTCAATATAACATGCTGATATGACGAGAGCAAATAGATGACTTAAGTGAGTTGCTGCTACTTTTCCATCATACATACAAAGCCGAGGCAGGCTTTTGAACAAGCTATATTGCTTTAACTGCAGAAGAGGAAACGGAGGTCAGGCACCTGGTTATTCTGTCTGGCAGGGGTGAATAAATGTAAATGTACAAATTTAAAAATAATGCCAGAAGAAAATAACATATCCTCTGACAGTTCACGTACTACATAGTCTGGAGATGCCAGCTGTCAGTGACAGACGGCATTCTGCCCAGAATCCAAAACAATCATCTCCTGGGCGTCTGAGCTTGCAACACAATTCTCCATAGGAATGTTTGTAGGAAAAAAAAAATGTAAACACAATGCTTCCAAGTTGTGTATACATTTGAAGTGATGTCAAGGCACTTGCTCCTTGTACAGGGGCTCAAGTAGAGTTGGGGCAGCTCTCACCTGACTCCCTGCAGCAGCAGTAGATCACTCCCATAGTGATCTATTGCTGGCTGTGGCCAGTAGTAGATCACAATTAGATCTATCTATCTATCGTATATACAATATACATTTTTTCCACAGATTTATCCTGACTTCCCAGCAATTAAGTCTCTTGATTTAAATGATATTTGCATTGACTTTGTCAGCCAATGCAATGTCATTTGAAAGTTTAGAAATCGTAAACCTGTAAAAAAAAAGTCACTGTATTAAAACAACCAGATCCTACCCTAGCCATTTTGAATATAAATATAGATACATATCCAATCCATTATCGACTCTGACACATATTCTTCTAGCATCAAGTCTTACCATTACTAGACATTGGAAAAAAGACTTAGCCCGTTCTCTAAAAGAAGTCATTGCGCTAGTCCAGACCCTCTTCATCTATGTGAAATCTTTAGCTTACCTAAACAATAGAATTACTAAATTTGACAAAGCTCGGAAACCCTGGTCCGACTGGTTCAGAACTGTAACCTAAGATATTATTATGTTTAACCTTTTTTTTGGATACTCTAAAATGATTATTTCGTGGAACTAGTAGGACTGTTAGGAATTATTCAATATTTCCTTTTTTCTCTTTGTTAAACT